TAAAAAAAACAAGCAAACAAAAAAACCCTGAAACTGTCAGTTTATAAACTGTCCAAATTTGCTCTTTTATGTAAAGGTCGTGCAGGACGTGTTTCCAAAGGATACTGTTATAGACTTATACACAAGGACTTCTGGACAAACTATATTCCAGAAAAGCCGGTACCCGAGATATTGGTAAGAATTTTGGAGATCTTAACTTCTTTTAATCTACGTGTTAATATTAGAGATTATTTTAAGAAAATACTAGTTCTACTTTACCTTTCCTGAAGGCAATCTGTGATTCGATTAGTTACTGTTAATTCTACTGCTGAGTAGATTTCAGATTAAGCTGGTTAAATAATTGAATGACTGTGAATATGAAGACCACTGAACACTTCTTTTTGTTGTAGAAAATGCATTACAGCAAAATATTGTGTGGCTTTAGGATTTAGCAGCCTGCTCAAACAAAAACTAATCTTAGTGAATGAATGAGAAATTAATCTCAGGTTTTGCTAAATTTAATTTAGCATTGACTCAGTTAACTTTAACTCACTTGCTTCAAGTCCTGCTTTCTGTGCAGGAAAGTAACAGTAGCGCTGTCTTCCCTTTAGCGTTGTCCTTTGGGAACCACAATCTTAAAAATAAAAATGCTTGACATGGGGGAACCAAAAGCCTTGTTGGCAACAGCTCTTTCTCCACCCAGCGTAGGGGACATTGAACGTACCGTACTTCAGCTGAAAGAGGTATGCATCATTTAATGTTGCTAAAATCAAGGTAACTACAATATATTGCAGAAGGGTTTTTCTGGATTTATAAAGTAATAGTAACCTTAGTTGGAACCGAAAGTAAGAATTATGCCTAGAGAACCTCTTCTCGTGTTTGACTCTTACTTGGTTACCATCATCTTCAGCATAATTTCTGAAGTTACTTCAGCAAAAGAAGATTATACTCTCATCACAGCAGATTAGTGGAGAAACAATTCTGTTGGTAAACAGCATCTATAGTGAGAAAAAATAGAAAAAAGTAAGAGTCTGAGTTCTGTAAGTGTAAATATTTCTGGTGATCACACACTTCCAACTTAGGATATGTTAGAACCAACCTATATATAGCCAACCTGAACATTAGCTTTTGGACCCACAAAAGGAAGTCAGTGACTTGGCTTGCTGAATGGGTTTGAACACTAATTACATTAAACTTCTTTTTTAGTGTGTGTAAGCAACTGTATTTAGATGCAGTGGCTTCCTTTTTATATAGTATTTCTAGCATTATTTTCCATTCTACCAGGCTTTTAGAATTAAGAACACCAACTTGATTAGGATTTTGGTGTTTGAGATAGTTGTTTCTTGTCTTGTTTGCTTGCAGACTGTTCTTAGATTTACGTGATCAATTCACACAAGTCAATAACTTGATTTTATTTTTTGTAGTTAGGAGCACTCACAACTTGTGTGCAAACAGAAGAAAATCCCCATGATGGTGAGCTGACTTTTTTAGGAAGGGTATTGGCACACTTGCCAGTGGATCAGCATCTTGGAAAGCTGATAGTCCTTGGTCATGTGTTTGGGTGCTTAGAAGAATGCCTTATTATAGGTAAGTGAGAGGAAAAAAATGTATGAATGTTTCTATAAAGACAAATAAGTTGCAGTTTTTCATTTCTGTTGGTTTGTTCTGTAGCGGCAGCACTCTCCTTGCGGACTTTTTTCGCGGTGCCTTTCAGACAGCATATTGATGGTTACAGGTATTATTGGCTCCTCAAGATGTTTTATGTCTTCCTGTCTATGTCTGGGGGAAAAGGGCTAAGCTGATCACTAAGCATCTTTTTCTTTTTTTTCTTTTTTTTTTAATGTCATCAGTTGCTGATAAATCTTCATTTGTATTGCCAGGAACAAACTGTTTTTTGCTGGGAATAGCAAGAGTGACTGTATTGCGCTTGTGAATGCGTTCAAGGTACCTCTCTTCTGGCTGATCTTCCAGTGAAATCTGATAAACCACAACAGAACTCCTTACATTTGCAGGATCAATGTGACATTTTTGCTTTTAGATTGTTAAAAACTTTTGATGTTATTACTCCTAGCTACTCTAGTAATGCTCTCTATGGACTATCTCCTATTTCATACGTATTACTGTATAATACTGCTACTACTACTTCGAGCCAGCTTTTACTGGTGAAGGAGCTGCACAACATTGCACCAAAGTAAGGCTGTAAGAAAAATTGGGTGAAAGCAGGTTGCATCACTTGGTTCCCTACTTCTTGAAAATGCCTTTAGTTTTTGAGGTATTTCTTCTAATTCTATGTAGTTGTTAAACAGAGTAAAGAAAGAGAGGCTGTGGTCTTGGTCTCCAGCTTGCTAGAAGGAGCAGCAGATTTGGAACAAGAAATAAGTGGCTCAGGTTCCCTTCCTTTCCATAAAGGAGCTGCTTTAGATGGTGCAGCAGATAAAGGGAAGGCCCAGCCTTCGTCGTTAACTCTTACAGAATTAAGTTACTGGAGCAATAACCTGAGACTGTCAAGAAATTTGTCATTTAACATATCTGTTGTCTATGTCAGTGAGGATCCTACTACAGCTGTTACAAATCTTGTGTGAGACCAATGTCTTCTGCTTTGTAAAATGTGTGTGTACTGTGTCTTCCTGTGCTTCTTTTAATCTTCTGGACCTCTCTGTGTACCAGAACAAAACTCAGGACAGCTGACTACTTGTGCCCCTTTTCAACATGAATGATTGTAGCTAGACCCTAATACAAAAATACAAGAAAGGGTAATCAGAGAAAAAAATTGTGAATAGGTAAAGAGATGGGAACATCTCCCCCCTTGCAGGTCTTCAAAACTCAACTAGACAAGATGGATCACATTGCTGAGAGTCAAGCTGGCCCTGCTGTGAATGTGGTATTAGACTTGATCTTAAGAAGTCTCTTCCAGCCAAAATTACTTTATGATTCAGCTCTCCATATATTCCGTTTTTAAAATTTCTTGTAATCTATGGTGCCTTAAGGGTATTTCTGCATTTTTACATTAATATTTTTTAAAATGATCTTCGGTGTACATTTGGAAAATACTCAGTTGCTGTGAATGTCACATTAATTTGTTGTAATAATTATTAATGAAACATTACATTTATGCCTGAATTTTAATTCACTTCTTTCTTAGGCGTGGCAGATTTGCAGACAAAAAGGAGAACTGAGACATCCCAAGGTTGGTTAGTTTTTTTCTCTTTCGTTTCATTCAAAGTTTAGTGACTCCAGTATTGGTGTGTTATATTCTTACTACAGCAATTTGAGCTAGCAATCTTACCTGCAATAGTTGGGATTTTTCATAAGTAAATAGTAGCATAGGCTTTGAGGGAATTTCCTGAATCTTTGAATCCAGCATCAAGTATTCAAAGGTAACCTTTTATATAGTCCCTTTGATAGACGGACCATCCAATTTTCCAAAGGGAAATGAAGCTGAAGTTGAAAGAGAATAATGTTTTCTTTATAGGTGAATCTTCCTTAAAGAGTCAGAAAGGAAGACTTCAAAAGGGTAGTTTAAAAAAATGACAGTGAGTGAGACCAGGTAAAAATAAGAACATTGAGTCATACTTACAACTTGAAAGATTCAAGTTCTATATGTGATCAGTCTCCCCCCCCAAAAAAAAGTAAAACCAGTGGTTTATGCACAGAAATAACTTCCTGCAGTCTTTTTGGACTGGTATATTTAAGAGCATTTTTGATTTCCCTGCAGCTGTTTGATCCCAATATGTTTTATGAGCACCTGTGTGACCTGTGCCTAGTATATGCTGAAGTTTTAGTGAGTAACCAAGATTACCAGCATGTAGGCTCTGTCAAAATTGTGTTTTCACCTAAAGAAAGTCTTGTAAAGAAAGTGTCATGTAGTACCTGCCTTGAATGGGTCCTAGAGTAGCAGCATGGAGGAGTTGTATCTGTTGGTTTATATGAAACATTTACAGCTGACTTCATGTTAAGCTAAGTGTAGTTTATTAGTCAAATTTATAGCTCTATCTTTTTTTATACATGTTGAGCTATTGATATGTTGAGCTATTGGATGCATAAAAATCTGTGAAATGAAATCCTTCTCTGGCAGTATGTGATTACAATTATGTCCATCCAGAGGAACTTGAGGATTTTTTAGCAGTAGGTAAAGCAGTACATAACATCAGCATTTTCATTTTACTTTCAGGAAGAGCTTGATTGGGGTCGATCAAATTATATTCAGATCAAGAGAGTCAGAGAGGTGAGCTGAAAGAGATGGGGTGTGTGTTTTTGTTTGTTTTGTTTGTTTGTTTGTTTTGTATAAGCGGAAGGACTTTGCTTTGTTACCAGATGCCAGCATCTTGGATGAGCCTCCTGCTTGTGTGTGTATGTATATGTATTTTTATCTTCTAAACAATTCATTTCCACTATTATTTACTAATTATTTACTCATTATGCAAGTTCCTCAAATATACTGTTTGTGCTGAGACTGTTTTACATATTTTTTCTATTGTTACTTTTTTTGGTGAAATAGGTCAATTTAAAGCAAATATAAGTACAATTATATTGTAAGTACAGAAATGAAATACGTGTTTTGCTAGGGTTCCTGCAGCAGTTAATGAAAACTGCACTACAAAGTACTTCAAGCCAAATGTGATATGTGGAGAAAAGAAATAATTAAAACTCCTGAATAACTGTGGTTGGCAGAGCATGCCTTTGCCGATCTATATTTGCTAGTAGCAAGGTTGCTAATTAAACAGTTTCTTTATTCCTCAGAAAAATATTTCAGCATGATTTCAGTGTGTCATTATAATGGCATGAGCCCTGTGGAAACTGGGTTCAAAAAGGGCAGAAGAGAAGGAAAGCTTTTATAGTTGGGGACAGTCTGGGAGAAAAAAAAATGGCATTAGATTTTTAGCTTGTGTACCTCTTAGGGTTTCTTTGAAACAGCTTAATACTGCTATTTTATGCAGCAGAAAATTAGAAGGTTACTGGTTATATTCTTAAGCTAAATCAGAGGGCATGTATTGCATGAAAAAATGTGTCATATAAATGTACAAACTTACTGAAAGACACTTTAGCATGTGATGAATAAGAGGTACATAAATTGAAGATTGCACAACTTGTTTTATGTGCATTAAGTGTAATGATTTTTTTTTTCCAACTGTGGAAGTAGGCATCATTTCTTTTCCAAGAAGAGTTCTGCTTGCCTTATTGCTCAACAGTGACTTGTGCTCACTGAATGAATTGCGACTCCTCGATACATTTTGTGGTGGAGGGGTTTTTAGCAGGTGTGTGCCTGCTTGCTTGTTTTGTGGTATTTGTGTAGTTACTGGGCTTCGGCCTCACAACCACCTACATTATCCAGGTTTGCTCTGAGTGTTGTTTTCTGAGGGATTTACCAATATACTACTAGTCTGCTTTGTAACATGATCAATTTCATCTTTTTTTTTTGTCTCCTTCTAAAGTGTCTCTAGCATATGGAGAACAGACATAGAGATCAAGATCAAAAGGAACATAAGTACTTTCATTTAGTACATGTTTCATTTTCTAGTTGACTTGAAATGCATCTGAAAATGTGTAACACCTTTCTGGCATCAGCTCTTTCAAGTTTAAGACTGTAGACTTGAAAAATTTACAGCTGAGTGATCACCTTGATGACTTGGAATCAAATGAGTTGCTTAGTGTCACCTAAGAACTTTGATGCAAGAATGAAATCTAGCAGTGCAAGGTGCCCTGCAAGTGTCATTACAGGAAATAAAGCCACATTCTTCATGTAACTGAAAAGAAGGTCTTGAAATTGAATATGCTTAACCTTCTTCTGTTAGCTTTTTAACAATTAGAGCTGTCTGTAATTGAAGCTGCTTTAGTACAGTTCTGGGCATTTTGAAATGAGAAGAACTACTGAACAGACAAGAAAAATAAAACCGTATACAAAGGAGTAAAGTATTGTAAAGAAATTGTATACTGGAAAAAAAGTTACTGTCAGGGAAGGTTAAGTGTTTCATAAGATAAATGTTGTAACATTCATTACATAAATTACATATATAATTATGATATCAAGGAGAAAAGTTGAGAAGAGAAAATCATAAAGCTGAAGCATTGGTCTTGTATGATAGCCTACTGGGTAGATTATGTTCTTTGGCCAACTTTGGATAATTCTAGAAGAGATTCTGTGTGATTTAATAGCTCAGAAATTTAGAGTGGACAACAACATTAACATGAATACATTTATGAATACTTTTTCTTTAAGACTTAAAAATAATTTAAAAAAAAAAAAAAAAAGTTTTTTCACATACCAACTTTACAGTCCTTGGCATGAAAATGGGCTTGCAGGCCTGACAGGTCTGAGACAGCCGTCCTGACTGTTTTCCAGTCCTGGTAGTTGTCATATGAAGAATATAACAGGGTATCTTAAAATTGCCAACAGTGGAATAGAAAATGTGGAATGGAGCACTGGAGCAGTTTAGAGAACAAGGCTGTGTGTCTTTTGTAGATCGTTTACTCCAAAATCAACTGGGTTAAAGGCATTAAATGAGAACCAGTTTATAGAAGCTTCTTGGTAATAATTTGTATTGCAAGCTCAATAGAGTATGTTCTCAGACTCATTTTAAGTACCTAAGGCTGTCTGCTAAATTTACTGTCCACTGTATGGTTACTGCTATACTTAGGTGCAGATATCCAGTTTGATGTTAGCCTGTTTCTGCCTTTTAAAAATATGTAAATGTAACTGTTCTATTGTGAATCAGTAAATAGCCATTTCAAAGGTAATTTCAGTTCCACCTTTTTCTGTTTTTTTTTAATTCAGTATCATATATGCACAAGAGGGCTTTATAACTGCAGAATTTTATATTAAATAGAATTCAAAGAAGAGTCACACTTGAGTCACACTACTGAAAGAAATCCTCTTGTGTAGAAATGTGCTTATCAGTATATTAGATGAAATAGGCACAGACCCCTAAAAAAAGAAAAGGGAGCTTGTTTCTGTAGGCTTTTATTTACCGATTCTAATTGCATTTATAGACAGATCTGATCTGTTTAAACTTAATTTGTAATTTCAGGTGGCAGAGTTATTCGAAGAGTTGAAACAGCGAGTCAGCGTATTTAACATGCATATTAACACTCAACCATCTCCTGTGGATCAGGAGTATGTGTACAAACAACGCTTCATTTTGCAGGTAATGATTTAACTCCCTTTTCAGGGGAGAAAAATGATCTACAAAGTTTATAACTCTTTTTACATTCTAGTATTAATGAATTACTGTTCTCCTGTGTTTCAATATTCTCCATGGATTTTGATTTTAAAAAGGTACTATTTCTTACTGTAACTTACTGTTGAATTTCCAAAGTAAATTCATTTCCTATTTGGACAGAGTAGTGCATTGGGGTTTTTTTGTTGTTTGTTTTTTCTGTTAGGTTTTCACAGACAGGACATAGTGATTGTTTCAAAGGTGTTTTGTTTAACTGTGTCAACAGTGAACTTCAAGAATCTGCATTGTTAAATATTGTAAGAGAGAATGTGAAAACTGCAAGTCTCATGTTTCATATAGCTACTTTGTGTGAATGTGTTAAAAATTGAGACTCCTTTGAGCTTATCAAAGAGACGAAGTGCTAAAGCCCAAGTTAATGATTCATAGTCCTTGTTTTTTTTACAGAAACATGAAAATGTTGCAGAATTGTTGCAGAAGATGAACTCTTAATGAAAGTGTGTTTTTAAGAGTAGGATTCGTGTGAGTTAACCTTTAGTTGGAAATTACTGTCTTTCCTGGAAAGAGATAGGGAAAACTGTAATATGCTTGAGGACCTTGTAATATCACTTGTTATTGCAAGTATATTTCTTTTTGAGAAACTGGATATAACATACTATGTTTCACAAAATATTTTTTACTTCAGGTCGTGATAGCTGGTGCTTTCTATCCAAACTACTTTAGTTTTGGCATGTGTGATCAAGAAATTGCTGTGAAAGAGCTTGATGGCAAAGATCCAAAAACCACTGTAATGGTATGTTGGGATTATTAACCTAAATAACTTAATAAATTTATCAGTGTCCTTCAAAACCAGATGCTAAGCCAGATGCATGCTAGTGAATGCTGAGCAAGGGAGTAAGTCTCTTTCCTGGATCTCCTGGTTGTGCTGTGCTGCTCGTGATGCAGCCCAGCATGTTGTTAGCTGCCATGGCCTGCTGCTGCCTTACAGTCACTGTCCGCGAGGAGCCGCTAGGTCCTTTGCAGCAGAGAAGTTGCCAAATCAAATCCCACGATATGTGTTGTTGAATTCCATGAGACTTAGGATACACCATTCCTATAGCCTGTCTACATCCTTCTAGGTGATGGCTCTGTTCTCTAGTCTATCAGTTTCTCCCACCAGCTAGTCTTTATCTACAAGCTTCGTGAGGGAGTGTTCTGTCTTCTCCAGATCACTGGTCAAGAGTGTAAACAGCACAAGTGCTAGGGCAGAGCCCTGAGGAACTTCACCTGTAACCAGGCTCGAGCCCAGGGGGCAAGCCAGGTCTTCATCCAACTTGGAGCATGCTCCTCCAGACTGTCATTACTTAACTTGGATACAAGGATGCTGTAGACCCTTGAAAAGGGGACTGAATTTTTTTAGGGACTGGAGCAAGGCTGACCAGTCTGTAGTTCCCTAGCTTGTCCTTGTCCTTTTTAAGCCTAGGTATAATGTGTATGGTATTAGGTCCTAGTGTATGCAGCTGATCTGACTCCTTGGACTTTATGGGTTGAATTTTCTCAGGAAATCTCTGATTCCATCCTGAAGGAGGAAGTTAATTTAATTTCACTAATTAACAGTTGAAACTGCTAAAACACTAAAATAACTATATCTAAACTTTATTTTTCTTAACAGCTGAGGAATATTCCTCCCTATGGATTTCTATACCATCAACAGTTGCAGTCACTTTTCAGACAGTGTGGGCAGGTAAAGTCTATTGCATATGATGGACCAAGGTAAGTACAAAATGCTTTGAGTATTATTCTGTTTTTTATGCTCCCAATTATGGGCCAGTAATCAACTTTTTTTGTCACTGTTGCATTAGCAAACATGAATTCATTTCTTATGATTTAATCTGCTTGAAAACAGGAATTTATTTTTAATGTATTGGCTAGGAAAAGAAAGGTAGCCTTGAGGCATATATGTGAGGCAAAGTAAGCCAGTAGCATTAGATAAATGAGCTCAGTAAGAGATTGCTTTCTGTTTTCTCTTTGGTTGTGTAACAGTGGCCCTTAAAACTGCAGCTGATCTGTCTGTATGTGTTTCTAATATACAGCAAATCCTGCTCATTTGTACCAAATCAAGTGGCTTTGCACAAAATGTATGTGACTGGCTGCTTTAGCAGATTTGCTGGCTGACTCTGGACTACAACTGTCCAAAGCTGAAAAACAATATATAGCCTTTTTTATGCCTCTTCTAAGCTTTACTACCTTTCTTACATATTTATAGCCCATTATTTCTACTTTTATTAGATTTATTCAACTATGTTATGAGAATACTAGAAAAATTTCTTAACTGTGATTAAAAATGATTTAAAGTGTATAAGAGGAGAAGGCAAGGCCTGTGAGGTAGCTACTCTTTTACAGTTCTCTAGGTTAAGATAAAGGGAAGAAATGATGGTGTTTTGAGTTTTGTTTCTTCCTTGAGGAACTTTGCAACTTCATTTTGTGGGCTTTTTGGAACAGGGCTTTTGTGGAGTTCGCTCGTAATCCAATGGACACCTTTAAGACTCTTCCTGCAGTGTATATGTCACTTAAAATGGCCCAGTTGAAAATTCCACTTGACCTTAATGTTCATTATCCGAACGAGATTGAGAGCCAGGTGGCAGGTGGGGGAGCTACGAGAGTGAAGCACACAAGGTAACTCTGCTCCGTGGGGAAATGGGTTTGGTTGCAGTCCAGAGCTAAAATAAGCCTTATGGTTTAAGCGTTTCCTGGAATTGTTACTAGGATGGAACCATTGTGTGAGCAGAACATTTTTGTTGGTTCTACAGGAAAACTAGTAAAGTCATTATTTGAACCCTTTAAAGACTGTGGAGAAAGGTGCCCTGTAGAAACTTAATTCAGGCACGTATCCTGGACTAGAAATACCATAATTGTCTTAAGTGTTTTTTATGGTTAAAGATGTTTCCTTTAGAGCAATCTGAGTATACACTGCCTGTATTTAAGTTTCAGTCCCATTTCCTTAGAGACATATGGAATTGTGATATGTCACAGCCTTATACAGCGATTGCTGTTCATGCTGGAGACAATGTAGGACCAAAAGAGAAAAGTAGTGGCATTTGGGGGCAATCAAAAGGGATGTTTGGGAGCAGTGGTTAAGGATGCAATGTAACAAGTCCATCTGGTTAGACAATACCTGCTTTTGCTAGAAACGTCTGACATAGGGATTTCGTTGTCTGTTTCATTGTCATATTCAAAAAGAGGATATGCTGCATTTTTATTTCTGCTGTGGTGTGTTCAATTTAGTTTCTGAAAATAAGCTTAGACCTCATTCCATAACAAATTTATTGTTTAGCCTTTATTTTTGGTTGCTTAATAAATTGATGGAATAATTGCTCCTCAGCGTAAATATGTCTGTGTGCAGTCATGCTCGTTTCTCTGTAGTGTGCTGGTTTGCATAGCCATTTTCCAGTTTAACCTCATACCTTTTAAAATAAAGTCCATGAAGTACCTAAACGAATATTAAGGCTGTTTTTTTCCTTTCAAAATATGCATGGCATAATTTCTTGTCAGTCAGTTGATCTTTTATCCTCTGTGTGCAGACACGCACATCTGTACTAAAGGAATGTGAGAAGCAAGCAGAAAGCAAAATGTGAATTCTGCATTAGCAATTTAGAATTTTCCTTTGTTACTACAAGGGGAATACAGTATGCATGAACACAATACACATGTATTTACCATCTTTATTTCATTATTTTTTCAGAGTAAATGTGGACTATCAGAAGCAGATAGTAGAGCCTGTGGAAATATTTGGCATTTCAGATGTGTCAAAGATGATCCCTAACCGTCTCCTATCCATCAATGTAACAGAGGTAGGAGCACTCTATACCTAGCTCTGTTTGCACAGACGACTACTCAGCAAGTGCAAACAGTGAATATTGATAATTCATTTAGCACAGAGATATTCAAAAAGGGTCTGAAGAATGTTCTTAGTCTCATTTTTAATACTTTTTTTGTTAAACACTACTAACATTTCTTGCCTAACTTTCTGAAATTTGTTTGTGCTTTTAAAACTCCTTAAAAATGTGTGGTGTTCTTTGGTACAAAATAGTACTTAGAGGTAGGATTATATGTAAAGGGGATAATGTAAGTGATCAAAATATTTGTGTATACTGAGGAAATCAATATAAGCACATATTTGGACGATTTACCTCGCTATTGTAAAATGGCAGTTTTCTTCTGAAGCTGCAGATAGGAGAAATGAGATGAATTTGTTGTATTGCATACTCATTCAGGAAAAACTATTGCATGCATAAAAGGTGGTACACTGGGATGTCTTTGTGTGGCATAACATGCAGCAGCTGTGATAGGGAAGCATGCCATTCTGAGGAGCTGTAAAATCAAGCAGCATTCTGTATCTTTTCCAGCACACGAAACTCAAACTGAAGCATAACTTGCATTTCGTGTCTATTTTCATACTCTATTAACATAGAACTTGGAATATATATTCCACCACCTTTTGCAGTAGTAAACACAGCTCTGACTTGTAATTGGGTAACGTAGAATCTGTCTTTCTGTGTCAGTCTCAAATGTAGTTTTTGGGTTTCTCCAGCTCATTGGCTGTTGAACTAGAGTTTTCACACCTTTGTGTGACAAAATAATCCCAACTCTTTCTTACAATGGTGGGAAAACTGGAGGCAGGTGTTTGCAGGAGAACAGACAGTGTAGGTCAGTCAAATACTGACTTAATAGAAGAAATAAAGCAGCAACTTCAGCAGTATTTCAGGTGACTTTGAGTGTATTATCAGGAAGGCCAAAGAAAAGGAGCCCAAAGAAAGGAATGAAAGGAAGGCTCTATTAGTTGTGGTTTTGTTTTTTCACATGGGCAGAAAAATAATATATGTTTAAAATCATGTTGCAAGATTTGTCAGCTTTTTGCATTATGAGTCTAAATTTCAATAAGCTTAGAAAATATCAAATAGTGATAGTGCAGAGATTTTTGAAAAAAAATGATAATAAAGTGCATATTTTGCAATAGCATTTAATATGAGTGTGTGTGCATTCACATATTTCTAAAATTTTCTAAAAGAGTTGAGAATTGTTTTGTTAGCTATAGTGTTTTCCACAGATTGTTTAATACCAAGGATAATATAAATTGAAATTCCTAAGAAGTTCAAACCACCAAGCTAGTGGAAATTAGAAGCTGAAGTGTTAAACCAGCTCTTGACAGTAGTGGCATGTTTTGCAAGTGCAGAAAGAATATTTTCTTCAGTTTATCCAGTTATGTCTATTATGAAAAATGCTGATGGATTTGACAACCATTATGATCTGATCATCTGTGGTCAGCCGTAGTGCCAATTTGCTGCTAAATGGAGCTGACTGTTAAGTTTGGAAAGCTTTTACTAGCTAGAAGGGTTCATTGTGCCTGGATGCACCTACGTAATGAATGACATACCTCATAGTTTATTTTTAAGTTGATTTTCTGTTTTTTAAAGTAATTGTCTTTTTTAATACATTAATACCATATTACTTGATAAAGAGCAATCTTCTAAAAGAGAAATGCTTCTCTGCATTTCTCTTGCAGTATGAGAGCACTTCTATATGCGTATCAGGAATAGGAATATTTTCATGGATTTTGCTCAAAATAATATTTTCTGTTTGGGGTATAAAAATGGTAAAGGAATGAGGTCTGAAACTATTTCATTTTTATGGTTTTTAGATTGTGGAAGTTGGACACTTTTGGGGTTACAGGATAGACGAAAAAAATATGACTGTACTGCAGACTCTAACTACTGAAATTAACCACCAGCACCTGATGGATTTGCCAGTGCCTCCACATCCAGAGTTAGTTTGTCTGGCCCCATTCCCTTGTCTGGAAAATAAAGGATACTACCGAGCTCGTATTCTGTATGTTTCTGGAGATTTTGCTGAGGTACAGTAATATGTTATGTCATTTTGAATCGGTAAGATGAAATTGAGTTAACAATCTTGTAGCTATGCATTTTAACAAACTACTGTTCTCGTGACAATTGTAAACATTTCAGTGGAGAAAGCAGGAATCCATAGAGCCAGAACTAAAATAAAACCTTAGTAGAATATTGCCAGAATAGATTAATTAGTTTTTTTTTTTTCAGAACACAGGAATAATTTTATGTTAAGAGTAATTGTTGTTGATATGGTAGGGAATTGTGTGTAGTAAAGCAGAGGGAAGCAAAATAAAGATGAAAGCATTCAGTAACTTTGAAAAAACGGTAAGGATTGCCTAGTTAAGAATCCAGTGCTGTATTTTTGGCAGACAATGTACTTTTGTTTTTTTGCCTCAAATACCTCAAGTTCTATCTTAAAACTAAGTTTCTTGCTGCCACTGTATTTGGAATCCTTCCCCTCATATTTGGTTGTTATGTCCAATTTGTATTTATTTGTTCTTATGCCAATGTTTCCTCCACAGTTTGCCTAAACTTTTTTCTCTTCTTGCTCTTTCTCTTCCCCTCCAAACTTCTTATGTAGCTTTTTGTTCCTGGACTTTATTTTGCTAACTGAAGCAAGCTGTGCTTTTTCTTATCTGATAGCACACAGCCTCTCCATTCTCTTGATCATCTCAGTCCCCCTCATCTGTTTAGCAATAGTCCTAGTCCTGAGCAGAGTTTTCTGGAACAAGGTTGACCAGCTCTTGTAGCTCTTCAACTTTTGAGCAATGATGATAGGACTCCTGTTCCGACATTGTATTTCTCCCCTACCATCAGAAGCATTTTCTGGTACATGCAAAAGAGGTTATCAAAGGGCAGATACATCTCGGCATGAACTGCCTCTTTTCACCTTATGCTCAGGTTTGTCTCCTGAGTAATTCCTAACTAATCATAATATATAAATAATTGTATACTGCCAGTAGCAAAAATTGTTATAAATGCCACTAGATACGATGTTTTACTTGATAGAATCTGTGTCCCTGTTTCTTCCTGTTCAGTATCATCAGTAGATTTCATCAGTACATTTTTGTTCTTTGTGCCAAGGTCAGTAATGGAAATTACTGCAGCAGTTTAAGATAGACCTTACTTTCCCAGGTCCGTGCTGCTCTTAACGTGTACATGCTCTCTTGCTCTTTTTGTTTTTTGTTTGTTCGTTTTTTTTGTAGGGTTTTTTTTGTTTGTTTGTTTTCTTTCAAGGTAAAGAGGGACCTTTGCGTAGTTTGTTCTTCCTTTTAGCTTCTCAGATTGTTAATATAGCACTGCAAATCACCAACTTTATATCTGTTTACAGTCATACAAAACTAGCAAAGAACTGCCAATCTTGCCATTTTCCCCTTTGCATTTATATACACTCACCCGATCCATGGTAACTGTTCATTTAGGCAAAGCCAGTTACTGGGTCGTGTCATTCAAAGCTAAGAGGTTATACAGACATAATTGCAAGGAGAGAATTATGGCCTTTCAGTGAAGTTTACTTTTTGTAGATCTTGCACATTATTTACATAATTGGTAGATGTTGTAGCCAAGGGATCAAATAATACATACAATAAAATGTGACCTATTATTTTGGACAGATCTACATTTGCATATTTTTTGGATTATCAATTTGCTTTGCTTGATAGGATATTTTTGTACTATAATTATTGAACTTAACTCGTTGCTTCCCTTGCCCACTGAAAGTAGCCACTTTAGCGTGTGCGTATGTGTGTTGAAGTGCTGCTGATGTGCTTGTATTCTTTTCTCAAGGTTTTCTTTGTAGATTATGGCAATAGATCCAGAGTGCCTTTAAAAAAGCTAAAAGCTATTCCAAGCCATCTTCGAGAGCTTCCTTTCCAGGTAGGGATGGTGCTCTTTGCTACTACTTAATATCTCAGGGTTCTATTCATCAAATAGAAGCATAGTTCAAATCACAGTGATTTTTCAGAATAATAATGAACTGACCTGTGTTTTGCCCATGTGAGGGTACCTACAAACATTCTCACTGCTAAATATGCAATCTGTTTAATTGTATTTCTTGCTGCATGAAAGTAGTTTGTGTTTTACATAAAGTGCAGGGAAATGTTATGCAGCTTTTTGTTTCTAGGGATACTTGCCTTAGAAAAAACCTTGAACTTGCAACCTGAGCAGATGTTAAAAATACTGGAAGTAGTCCTGGCCCTTTGGGGATAAGGTAGTAGTTTCTCTTCCATGTCAAAGGAGCACCAGAAAGAGTAAGAAATCACTCTACCAACTGCTTCTGCTTTTTGTGGCTTTTGGCCTTCAATAGCTTTGCTCAGGAGGAACAGGCTGAGCAGATGATGAGCTTTGTTTTATTCTAAAACTCCAAGGAAACAGCGGGTTCATTTATACAGCTTTTAAAACAGCCCTAAGGGAAACAGAATCAGTAACTAGTTTAACCCATTACACTCTGCTTAATTCTAGCAGTTCCCACCAGGTAAGCAGCAGTTTACCATCTCTCTATCTACGTGGCACAAGTCTTTGATTGCAGTTGTCTTGTGTCTAGCTCTTGCGCAGAGCATTTTTGCTCAGTCAAGGCCTCCACTCCCCTACACTGTTATCTATAGGGGAAAATACCTGGGAGTCAGCTTGCTACATTTACCACCAAGGGAATCTTTTCCGTGAAAACTTGTTTTTTCTTTGTGGTGCTTGACGGTTTTTTGAAATAGTAGATCCATTTTGATTCTTCCAGGAAGAACTCTCTTGAAAGTTAAATATTGATCTGTTAACTCAGTTTGGCATGGATTTATTCCATAGCTAGTTTTTCAACAAAATAATTATCTTGAGCTCTACAAATAAAAGCATGAGACTTATTTTGACTGAAAATGCTGTTGTTATCTGGATATTTCTGGTTATATTTACAGAGAACTGTAGTTTATAATGTTTTAACAGGGAGAAAATCTCTAGACTCATAGGACTTTCATGTTGATGGCGAATTAATATGCCTGTATGTCTGAAATGTGTTAACTTTTGTGCACTGTTTGCTCTGGTTGTTTGTCAGCTATGTACAATATTGAATTGATACAAGATGTAATACAATAATGCGTAGCTGCATTGGCAATGGCAGAATAGGAATTATGCCAGTAGTATTAGGGATTAGCATAATTGCCATAATTATGAAGTAATTTTAGAGTTACTAATTCAAGTAATTTCTTGAGGAAAAATAGATTTCTTGCCAGTTTGGTACTCAGGCAAGCATTATTTTAATGTTTTTGCTCTAGGCTTTAGAGTTCAAGATGTGCAAGATGCGTCCATCTGCCAAATCTCTTGTGTGTGGGGAGCAGTGGAGCTACAGTGCTAGCCAGAGATTTGCCTCACTAGTAAATGGTTACACGCTTCTAGTGAAGGTGTATTCGCTTGTGCATGGGGTTCTGCACGTGGATGTTTTCCGTTATTTGGGGAGCAAAGAGCTTGTGAATATTCGCGACGTCCTTATCGAAGAGTGTTACGCTGAACAAGCAGAGGAATCGTATGAATCACAAGTATGTATTCAGTAAGCTTCTCTCTGATTCTTCTTGTACTGATTTATTTCATTTCTGACTGTTTGAAGCCCAGATTGAGCTGAAGTCTTGGGAGCATGCTATAGAGGATTAGGCAAGATTAATACTTGAATGATGCTATGTATTTTTAAGTGGGTGGGTGTTTCATATGGAATTGCTGGCCGAAGGCATTGCTTTTTTGAGACACTTTAAGAGGTGTTTCCCAGGAGGTGATTGAATCACCGGAACTGTTTCACTATTTTATATGATACACAAGGTGATAAGAACATTGTCTTTTGTATTCATATACAAGTGTGCATATTCTTTGTGTAAAACCTACCTTCCTTACAAAGTTTTCAGAAACAAAACTGTTCTGTGGTTTTAACTCTCTTCTATTTTTATGTAGCAAAGCCATGATTTGCTCGAGGCATTACTTTCGGACCAAATAAGAAAAGAAGAGAGAAAGCCTGTATCTTCAAGAGGAGAAGAAAAGCATGTTATTGAAATGTTGTTAAACAAGTTTTCTGTGGATAATTTTGATGCAGCAACCCATAAGGTAGCTTGAGGTGTTGTTTTGTGTGGTTCTACATTACGTTTGTGTGTTTGTATGATGTTTATGTGTGATCTCCATCTCTTGATGGAGATCAACATTGAAGGTACTTCGATCACTGATTCATGTTCATGTATTTCATACTGGAGAACTTTGTGTTGGTAGGTGGTCATAATATGACCATCATTGACTAGTCAATCACAGCTCTTAACAAAGTCTTGAAAATATAGCCAGACAGCTAACTGGGCCTGCTCTTCTAGCATGTTTAGGAAAAATTTCTACACAGAAAGAGTAGTCAAGAATTGAAACAGGCTGCCCAGGGAAGTAGTGGAGTCACTGTCCCTGGCAGTGTTCAAGAAACATGTAGTTCACATGCTTAAGGACATGGTTTAGCAGGCCTAGTGGTGATGGGTTTATGGTTGGACTTGATCATCTTGAAGGTCTTTTCCAACCATGATGATTTTGTGGCAGCTCTTCCTGCCATTGCAAAATGAAGATAAAATAAACTGAAGACACTGCTTTAACAGATTGCCTTCCTGATTTTATAAACTGCAAAGTAATCTTGCAACAAAAAGCAAGATTATACTCTTACCCTTTTTTTTTTTTCTAGCACTATGATCATTATTTTTACTGTACACTGTTTTTGGTTCTCCATCAGCTAGGTAACGCTGGAGAGGCAATACAGAGAACCCTGCAGTACTTTACAACAGTGGAGCAATGGATGTTTCTTTACTGCCAGTTCAAAACTCCAGAATTTATTACTACATATGTATATTGAGACATCTAGTCATAATCACTACTAAGTTGTAGTATAAAGCATGAAGATACATTCTACTCTGTTTACAAGTTAAGCCCAGTGTACATTATAACTCCTCCCCATTTCAAGCCTCCCAACACTTCAGACTCCAAGCACCTAATCATGCTTCATTTCCTATCAGAGTAATCCTGTTCAACTGCTTTCTTACAGTAATTGAGCAATTTTCAAGAATAAGGAAATCTTATGTAAATAAAAATAAAAAATAAAAGAAAAAGGTTTTTTTGGATGCTTTGTGAAGTCTAAGATGGTGTTTAAACCAGTGAGAAGTCTTTAATTTCAACAGTGGTAACTGTTTTGGTGCCTCAATTTCAAGTTTGTTTTAGATGCTTGAAAGTGTTCCCTGTTGACCTATTCAGTGTTATTGTAGGCATACACAAGTCCATGAAAATAGGTTTTGTTTTAAAAGTTTGTCATTAATAATGGATTTTGATTAGGAGAGATCCAGATGTTAGTTAACATTTCATTTGTTCTCTCTTGTTTTTGAAGGTATCTGTTCATGGACCGTTCAGTCCTTATGAGGTAAAATGCTTCAGTATGACTAGAATATCCCAATTCAGGTATGATACAGCTTTTATTGTGAAGTCTAGGAATACTGTTAGCTGGGATGTTTTTAAATGCTTGGATTTATTTATTTATTTTTACACTGTTGCTACAAAAAAAAAATGACTACCAGATTGATTTAATATTTTATATAGAAGTTATTTACTAACCATAATACACGAATTTTAACTAGGTTTCAAATAATCAGCTGTTATCCGTTCAGATGGCATTGTAAGTTCAAGAAGATTCTTAAGTCAGATATGTGTGTTTCTGTTGTTTTGTTCTGTTTTAATGTTGCAAATACCTGTTACTTCTTTCCCCAGATGTGCTTTCATACGAAAAGAAAGTATAAACTCTGTTGTTGTCAGAGATGCTCCAGAAGATTCTTTTCAGCAAATGTTGGTTGCTGCTTCTTTATCAGTAAATGCAACTGGTAATGGTTGATGAAATTTTTTTTTTTTTTTTTCCCCCTCATCCAAAGGAATAGTTATTTGAGTAAGTATGTCACTAATTCCATTAATTACAACTTTTGATGTCTTCTTTAGATACACTTTAATGCTGCTGTTCTGTTTTGTGGTGACAGGATCCTCTCTGATCTTAGAAGAAACATCTTTGATGCCTCCTATTCCTGGTCTACCAGCACTCCTCAGTATGCTCTTTGCACCTGCTATAGAACTCAGGTATTTGTTCATTTTCAAAATAGTGACTCATTTTTAATTCTTTTTAGGACCTTAGCAAATTGGTGACAGGCCTTTTTGCTCTTTTTTTTTTTTTTTTTTACCGTTTAGCGTGAAGTTTTTGTTTGACGGCATCTTCTGTCGTGTGGGGGTTTTTTGTTTGTTTTTGCTTTTTTATTACTACCCATGTAATTCTGTTTTTTTTATTTTGTCAGTTTTAGTACAATATGTTAAGATAACTTGTTCCATATGCTTATGAATTGGCACTGAAGGCTTTGACCCTATGACAAGGTAATACAATTCCTAACAGGTGTACTTGAAGTATGTATACTTGAAGGAGGATGAACTGTAGAACACTACAGATTTCAAAAACACCCAAGGAAAGGAGGGAACTTGTATGTTTTTTGTAAAAGATTTTTTTTTTTTTTTTTTAGTTTACTGCTGTGTTCTTCTTAGAATCTCACATAGGGGCTGGCACTATAAACGGACAAGCTTCTCTTAATTAAAAAGTGCATACAAAATGGGACTACTTAAAAGTTTTATAACTATGTGTTTTCTTAGTGAATACTTAAAGATTGCTTCAATATCATATTTACAATAAGAGCAGTATAATTGGATGCAAAGGTCTCAATTGTTTCAGCCTCTTAACCATGCTGAAGATGAGTACTTTTAAAGACACCTTCCTGTAAGTCTGTCTTCATATTAATTTAGTTTCATAAAAAAGATGATTTTCTTATACTGTCTGGTATAGGGTTGATAAAAGTGGAAAGTATTTCACTGGTGTCCTGTGTGGTTTGGGCTGGAGTCGGATTCATGGAATTCCACTGCTTCCAGAAAATGACATGGAGTTGACATTTGATGTGCATTTTGGTGTGGATGACATAGCAGAGGTAAAACATGTATATGAATTTTTGCTGTAGCAGGAATAGGGTAGAGATTGCATCAGAGATTGTTAACTTTGAGTTTTTCTGGCTGGATTCTAATAACCTTTAGGAGAGAAAAAAAAGTTATATGTTTTAGCATAAATACATTTTTATAGCCTTGGACTTCTATCAAAAGAAAACCAAAACAACCCCTTCCCCTGCCCCTCTCCCATCTTCCCCCCCCCCCCCCCCCCCCCCCCCCCCCCCCCCCCCCCCCCTTTTGTTGAACAAAACCAAATAAAGAATATACAAGTATACATTATCTAATACTCAGCAAACTTTTTAGAAGAAAAGTATCCATTCACTAATCAAATATCAGTGCTTTTTAATTATATTTTTAGGATTGTTGTGTTTTTCCAAATCAGTCTAGTATTACTTCTTTGTAGTCTTCTGTGAAATCAGATGTAAAATTAATATAAGAATATTGAGGAGAAGTTGTTTGCATCAACCTCCATTTCCAAAGCTTCAGATGCTTCTGCTTAAGTTAATAACACTTAGTGCAGGTTAGTTGTATTGATGCCACGACCGCTTTCCATACACATCAGAATCATCTAGTGCAGATCTAGGACTGGATTGGAATGTGTCATGTATTTTGTCATTGGTATTTTTACAGATAAACATTCTAAGGGAAACCATTAATCAGCTAGTCAGTGAATGTGCAGTGTGCCCGGACCAAGGCAGAATGGTGCAGCTGCAAGAAAATGCTCGTCAGAAACTTCTAAGGTAATCACGTTGTAGACAGGAGATCTTGCATTTCACAGTCTCAGCAAAACCAGAATGCATGATTGCTCAAAGCATAGCTCAGATCAGGCTTCGGGAAATTATAATATAATTTGTTTTCATTTAATGTGTTTCATTTACTTTGCTCACTTATAAAGTAGTGTACAGAACAGCTTTAGATTTCTTGTGGTAGCACTAGCTCTGCAGGGAAGCCTGATCATTTAATAGCCATAAAGAACCTGGTAGAACCTGTTCTACAAGGCACCAGTTTTTGAACTGTAGGTTCTGCCTCTCCTCCCTCAGCAAACCTGTATAATAGAAATGTTGTCCACATTAGTTGCTAGAAGTGCAAAGTTAATGTGTAAAGGGAAGTAAGGCTGCTTGCATCTTTTCCAACAGACCTGCCTGATTCTCGCAGCTGAGATAGTGGCTCTGAGAAAAGCTGATCATGCATCAGTGCAGCTGGTTTTAGGAATTATTTCAGCCTGCAGTGCGAGAGAGGTGTTCCAGGAAGCCAATTCAATGAAGTGGCCCTGTAACAGCTCCTGCTGTCCCGTGACAGCTAAGCACATGGTGAAAAATCTTCCCTTGTTTGGAAGCATAACGGGCATTTTAGTGCATCAGCAGGCCTTTTTTTTTATCCTTAATTGAGTTCTGTGTCAAACACTTCATGAAGAGCTCTGGCTTGCTCATGAGTCAGCAATAAATTTACATTCTCTACAACTGTCCTCTGTGATTCTGTACAGCTATATGCCAAAGGTTGGTAGTTGCTCACACTGAAAAATCAAATTACAAAGGCATAAACAATTGTCAGAAATCTTGGGGCGACCTCATATATGTTAGCTCAATGTTAGCTCATCAGCTGCCGTGCTGAATGTACAAAGGAATAAGCTTTATGTGAAGGGCTGGTTTTGTGGGGGAAGAAGGTGTCAGTGTGTGTGCTGCTGTCAGCAAGGAGAGCCCGGCAGTCAGCTGTGCTTACAGGGACCCGTCAGCCTGTAGCCAGTTGTTCCACAAGGCTCCGAGTGTATGCAGAAAATGTGATGGTGCAACTCCAAAATGCGCCTGCCTCTGAGGAGGTGCATCTTGTGGTGCTGCTTTTAACTCAAGGTTCCCTAGAACAGGTTGGCAGGTGATTCTCATTTGAAACCTCAGAAAACTCTTGGTAAAATACCAGCTGTTAAGGGTAGTTAAGCTGTTAAGGCTAATTCTAGTGGAAAATGTAATTTCCTGCCTGTGTTCAATACCTTTAGGGCACTTTAGTGTGGTGCTAGTTGTTGCCCATGTCGCCTTTGCTTACGGTCATCTTGTACTGTGTTCGGACTTCAGACAGAATTCAATAACTTGGTTCATGTTGTAATAACTGCAGGCAGAAATCAATAAAAGTGGGTAGGCAGAAAGAAGCAAATCTTTTTTTCTTCTTTTTCTTTCTTTTTTTTTTTTTTTTTAAACAGAGTAATGAACTTTTTTTTAACTGGGTTGATTTACTAATAAAAACTTCAAGATTTTGTGCTGAATTTATTCTGTCTTAAGGCATTATGTGCAAAATAAATGTGGTTGAGTTTTACAGCTCTAGAATGTATTGTCTTTAAAATACTCTCCTGAAAAGCACTCTGGCTTACTGTATATTTTTCCACTTTTCAGAATTTTGTCTTATTTGAGTCCATGCTTGTGTGTCCGCTAAACTGCTATCAAAATCTGCTTAGAAAAATCAAACTGCTGTAGGAATTTTCTTTATTGAAAATTTTAGGAGGATAAAATCTGATAGACCGAATTTGCCCTTTAGAATCACCTCTGGACTTCTGTGTCTCTGATCTCAGGATAGATTTGCAAGACTGGCTTTCACGGAAACAACCTCATGAGCAGACTGGATTTGCAGTGTTCTGTCTCTTGTTTTTGAACAGATACATGCTAGATGGCATGTTGCTGCACTTGGATGTGCATTTCTTGTGTTTCCTATCTGAAACATTTCTCTTTTCTTAAACAACCCAAATTACCATTCATTCTTTTTCCCTTCTCTTTTCTATATTCCCATGCCTGTCTTCTCCTGGTTCCTATTTTGTCACCCAGTAAACAAAAGAAGAGCATATAACTGTCATTCTGAAATGTCATGCAGCGTTTACAAACTGCAAGTTTTGTGAATCGGAATCTAAAGGTTTCTTTTCAACAGACACACTAATTTCTTTTGGTTAAATTTCTGGGGACAAGGGGATGGAGTTTACAGCAGGGTCCCTCTATCTCCCCACATATATACTTTGCATGATACATTTCTTACATTTATTCTGGATACTTTTCCCTTAAATCCCAGAGCTACTCGTTTTTGATTTTTTTATTATTTATTTTTGGAAGAGACCATCTGGTTAGTGTCATGATGCATTTTTTCTGTGTGGAAAATCATCTTTCATTTAAAAAATATTATTTCTATTTGTACTTCCTTTAATGTCCTGAAAAAAAATATTTTATTAATAAGAGTAAATGTATAAATGTATATCTAGCCTTTTTTTTGCATTTTTAAAGCTAATTGTATTTACTACATGTCACCACTACTTAAGACTAAAATGTATGTATGAAAAACATATCTCGACAGGATTAATTAAAGTGTACTGTTGTACTTTGCATAGCTTGAGGAAATAACTGGGGCATGCAGATGATTTGTAGCAACTGAATTGTCATACAAAACCGAATGCCCTAAAAACAGCAGTCTTGCTTATTCACTAGAACATACATGCATAAGTCTTGCAGAATAAAGGATAATTGCAAGTTGTAGTATTTTGTCAATTAAGGAGAACATTATTTTCTTTTCAAAAAAAAATCAGTGAACTTTTACAGGGAAGCTAAGTGCGTCTACTGACTTGTACTACAGGGGGAAAGTAAAAATAGTTTAATGAGGAAACTTAGGATTTGGTCTATGATAAGGCACCCTGTAAAGACTTAATTGTACCTAATGTATAAATATTCCTTTGAGTTTATAATTAATTAAATACACAAATTATTTCTTAAAGATATTTCTATGTAATTTCAGTTTAATCTGCAAATCAAAACCACGAGATGCAGTTGTTCCTAAGTGGTATGACAAGTCATATGCCTGGAATCAGGTAAGGTAATTAGTATACGCTAAATAATGAAAATGAGGAATTAAGAGTATCTTAGTATGTCTTAAGTTAGCTGACTGTGGTAAATGATAGATTAAAAAAAAAAAAAGTTAAGGAATATCTTTTTTGATGTTGAAAGATGTACTGAATTTGAAGATACTGGAAGCATTGTAGAGTAGGATTTAAAACACTGTTGCATCTATTAATATATTTTTGCAGAGTCTGTTAATTTTGCAGGACAAATATATTAGCTTTACAAACAGAACTCTTGCTGCTTTATTTTAGTTGAGAGAGATTGTAGAGGAACCTTTCGTTTGTTCTGAGGTAAATTTTGTATTGGTGGTTCTGTTAAACAGCCTTAGCAATAGAGAAGAGGAGAAGCATTAACTGATACCCTTTCCTTGTTTAGGACTTACCTGAATTCAGAACCCTTTGATTTTTACTTTGCTTACCTTCTTTACCTTTACCTTCTAAAACTTACAGAAACTGTCTTGCTATAGAATCAGTATGGTGAGGTCAGATAAAGGGCCATTTTCTTCATCCGGGAGCTTTTCCCATAACTGAAAAGGAGTTTTCCACCCTTCTAGAAGGCTTGCCTTTCTGAAAGGAGTTCTGCCTGCCACTAGATTTCTTGTGCAGTTACCATGGCAAACAAGTGCATTTTCTTAACTAGAAGAAAGTGAGGAATTGTATGGGGCAGAATGTCACATATAAATGAGGTATTTGGATCTCTCTTGCAAACTTCGGAAGCAGTGAGTGACTATCAAGGGCATCTATTTTTAATAGGCATTGATATTCAGTTATTCTTGGTGTTGCTAAGGTAACTTTTTATTTGGTTCTATTTATGCCTAGTGTTTTGTAAAAACAAAAACAAGTTGATGCTTAAATCATACATAAGGATTTACCACGTTGTATCCAAAGCTTGAAGAATCTCAGGACATCTTATTCATGTTATAGCATAAAATACTGCCTATAATCCCTTGGAAGTTATGCCACAGACATATCCTGAGCAAGAGCTCTGTTTGATTTGAAACAGTCAGAACTCCTTGAAAGCAATATAATAAGTGTTTTCATTAACTATATTCCATATGAATGCATTTTTAAGAATAAACTAACTTTGTGACTTTGTTTTGATTAGGTGGATTCAACACATATCATTGACCAGTCTGAAAGGCAGCATGAAGAGGCAAATGATCTTTATCAGCTACATAACCTTGTTGTGTTGAACGTTTAAGTCTTACCTAGAAATATCTCAGATGAATATGTTAACTTGTCTAAAATGTAGTTCTGTTTTCTGTATCGTTCATTGTATAATTATCCATAGAATTAGTGTAGGCATGCCATATATAGGGCAGAATGTTAAAGGTATTTTGAAAAAATAAGGTATACTGACCTAGAGCAGCAGGATAATTCATAAAAATAGCTCACTTAAATGGAAATTACATCCTGCTTTAAGTTTTTGCTGAGAAGTTGTGTATTGCAGGCAACATGAAAAATAGAGTAGATTACGGCTTAGTAACTTTTTTATCTAAAAGCTCAAGAGCTAAGGTACAATTTTTCTCATAATTGCAAGATGCATTTTGTCTGCTTTATTTGTGTATCAGTATTCAAGAAAGACACACCAGAGTTTCCTTTGTATGCAAAAATGAGAGATTAATGGTAACTGGTAATCTAGGTTATCAAAAGTATAGCTTTATATACTGGATATAACTGTTTCTTTTGCTCACTTTTCATCTGACAAAGCCTTATACATGATTGATTCTTCTATATGGCAGAAGAATGCTTCTGAAAATTGCATATTTGTTTCATCTTTTTTTTTTTTCTTAACCTACAAGTTCTTCAATCTTAAACCTAAGGTCAGTGGCTTCAGAATAAAATGCAGAAATGGAAGTAAATGGGTTTGTCTCTTCTGTTGTGCAGTCATGCTTCATAAAAGCTAAATTTAGTTATTAATGGTGTGCAATTGCGTTCACGTATTTCATAAATAAGAAAGCAATTTGTGGGAATGTATTGATCTAGTCACTGCTCACTCAACTATTTGGAAATGATGTAATGTTTTCTTTTTCTGTAGAAGAGACAGAATCAATAAGCATGGTGGCAAATTTGGGGCAAATAAGGCTATATTTAAGCTAACAAAAATGTAATTTTAAGTGGAACTTAAAGATCATGACTTTTTAGTAGACAATTTCTTTGTTTCTTCAGTTCATCAAGAGCCTTACTTCCTGAAACCCATTTTGGTAAGGAACATGAAAGAGGCAGAATGTCTCATCTTTGCTATGCTTGTTAGCAGTGGGAATTTCTGTAGGAAAAGATAACTTTGTAATGTCCAAAATGTTATACAAATAATGTAATTTCTTATGATGAAGTTGAGATTTGACAAGAATGGTATTTTGCTTACTGTGCTTTCCCCCTCACTTCCATCTTGGTGCTGTCTTACTTTCCAAGCGTGTTCATGTGAGTGTGCTGCCATCTCGTGGGGTTATTCCTATTTCCATTTGATTGCATGATTCAGTGCTGCCAGTAATGAAAAGGTGCCCTGTAATAATCCATATAAAAATAAAACAGGCTTTTGTGGTTGTCCTTATGAGAGAAATGACTTAAGCATAGGTGCTGGTGGCTGTAGGAGAGCTGTCTTGCATTAGTTGCCTGAGGAGCGTGAACTGTGGGTTTTAACTCTTAATAATTCCCAGTTTGGGGTTTGGTAAATAATGAGACCACAAACACGATAGAGGATAGATTGTCCTTAAGGGAAACGGACCAGTCAGCACTGGTAAGTGCTGCATTTTTCCAGGTGAAAATGTAGTACCAATGCTTAAGAAGTGGCAGCTGTGTTTTATTGTTTGTTCAGGTTTCAATTGCATTGCAAAGTTCCTTAAACAAGGTTGACACTTAGTCCCATGTAGAAGAACAGCTCCAGGACTTTTCCCATTCGTGTTCAATGTGGAGCAGCACTGGAGGGAATAGTACATAATATATTAATGTCGCTTACAACTAAGGACTTAGTTCCAGTGAACTTTGTGCCTTTCAGTGGTTACTTCCATGAGAAAAGGGTCATGACTGCTTATCAAGGTCCTTGTACCTCCAGGTGCTTGTCAGCATCTGATAGAATGCGGTATCATTTACCAGTTTGTGATCATGAACATCATATATTTTTTCTGAATCCAAAGTAGAAGTATTATTCTATGCAAGGTCAGTTTAAGCAGTGTTTCCCCTCTTGGCAGTTTCCAATAGCAGTAGTACAGTGAATAAACCATGTTGATAGGTGCTTCTCGGAACTCAGATTTGTTATCACTTCTAATTTCCCACATAGCTGCAGTAAAATTCAGTAGTGTTTTTGAGAGTGTTTTTTCATGTTGTACATGATTTACTTTTTAAGTTATATATTATATGTAAACAGTATCTTGATAAATAGAGTTGTTCAGGAGATGTAGTTTGTATTCTATTAACTGTACCAGCTCTTATTCCAAAGACACTTGTAGCTGCTAGAACAAAGATTAGAGAAACATCTGATTCCTGAGTTGATTCCTTAAAGTATTTGAGTCACAATTATTTCATTACAATAATCGTAGCAATAATGATCAACTTTTTTCCTAGACTGAAAAGAGGAAAGGATGCAATTATTAAAAATAGACATGGGCATTTCAGTTACTCAGGTGTGAGGTAGGGAATCAAGGACAGGTATTACAACAGTCTTTAACATGGCACCTGGAGTTGGCAAGCTGAGCAATTTCAGATGAGGGTGGTCTGCCTTTGGGAGCTAACAGCAGTGATCACAAAGCAAGCTTAGGATTTTCACAGCATTTCTCTCCCCAGATGGTGTATTAGTACAGATGTGGGGAGCTTAAATGAGCCGTACAGGAGAACTGCTGAGATTTCAAGATGCTTCCAAGCAACTGCACGTGTGTTCTGCAGTGAGTGTGATTAAAGATATTAAGATGATGGATGTCAATTTGAAGTGAATTCCCCCCCTCCCCCCCCCCCCCCCCAAAAAAAAGTGCTGTTCCTTTGCAGTCTTTTGTGACTTGAGAGGTGGAAATGAGTGTCAAGTTCAGACATTTTGGTCTTTTCTATCAGCTGTTTCATGTTTAAGCTACCTATTTCTAAAGCTTGCTTGTGTATTTTATGTAAGTTTTCAATGTAGACGGTTATCTGGAAAAGGAAGGTACATGACTGAATTTGAATGGATACTTTGTCATAGGGTCACTTACAGTCAAAACAGGCTCCATATTGCTTAACCCATGTCAGATGTTTCAGGTTTATTTACACTAATCACCTTGCTTTTGTGCAACTTTGCTGTGACTTGAACAAGAATTGAAGGAGAATTTAGTGAGACAAAGGATTGTCAAACAACTATGAAGAAGATGGTCCAAGATCAAAAAAAAAAAGAAAAAAAAAAAAGGGGGGGGGGCAAGCCTTGAGAAACTACAGAAATGCTGTTTGCTAACCAAAGGTGAAACTTCTTTTCTCTAAAGCTGAATTACCAGGATTACTTGTATAATCCTGGAAAGATGTGGAAAAGGTGAAAAATCACTCATTCTGCAACCAGCAACACTGGGATTTTTTGTTTGTTTGTTCTTTATTTTTGAATTAGATGTGGTTAGCCTTCACTTAAATACTGGGTGGAAAGGATGACTCTTAGGATAAATTTAGGCCTGTAGTTCTGGTGAGACTTGATGTGGTTCTTGAAACTCCTATAGTGTTTATCTTAATCCTCAGCATGGTATACAGCTTTTATGTACCTCTACTAAAATCTTGAAAGCAGATTAAAATGAGATACCAGCCTGTGTACAAATTTCAGAAAAAGACCATGTGAATTGGGATAAATTTGAATATTTTTGAACAGCAGACATAAGTGTTAGCCTAGAATGTGACAAGTTGTACTGATTTTGGAAATAATCTAGTGGCACATTTCAGAGTATATTGTAATATGGGACTGTTTTTTCCACTGTTAACTAGTAGAAAATAAACAACCTGAACTAATATTATTTTTAAAAATCAAGTGTGTACCTTCTCTAAAAGAGCCATGAGAAAAGCAGGTAAAACTCTGAAGAGGCTATTAAGTGAAGGAGACCTGAGGCAAGGGAGAGATGCCTGAAGGAGTAAAGTTTTTACTAAGCCCCAGGAAGGAATGTTGTGGTAAGAGGCAACGTCCACTATCAAGTGAATCTGTAGAAAGATAGAATGCTTTTTTTTTTTTTTTTTTTGCCTTTAGGCACCTACCACAGACATGTGGAGAACTGTTTAATTTTCCTCTCATCTCTGTGTTATGCTCTTAAATTCAGTGTCCATCCAACCACCACGTGGAGGGGAGCCATTCAGCAAATGGAGGTGAGTCACCAGGCCCTCCTGCAGCCACCCTGGTACCTCAGAGAAAGGGCCCTAGGGAGGCCTCTGGTGGGAACAGGGTGACTGGTGTGCTGATATGGAGGGTTCCTTATGCCCTCCAAAAGTACAGGCTCTAGCCAGTTGAGAACCCATCTAGTTTTTCAACTGCATTACTTTAAGGGTCTCCAAGAAGGGTAAGATAAATCCTCCTAATCTCCAGCTGTGTAAGGTATCATGAATTTCCCCAGAATATGTGTGACTGCACATGTAAGGCAGTCTTGGTAATTTGATAACAATGTATGGCTCTAACCCTATTCACTTTGGCTCTGTAAATAGCTAAGAAGGTAGGTGATGCTAACTGGCATTCTTGCAAGACTTCTGCCTGCCTCACTGAACTTCTAAAGGGGAGTTATCTCTCATAAAGGTTGGAAGAGGATTAGAATTTAAATAATGATGCTTGAGAAATCATTCAACCCTTTACTCAGTTCTTAAAGAAGAAACTTATTCCTATGAATAGAGAACAGAAATACTGGCTAAAGAGGGCTGGCAAGGAAAATATGAATCAGCTCATCACAGTGGAGAGTTGCTGAGATGTTGACACTACACCGTTCCTTTTCTTGCTTCCTCAATTCTTTGTATGTAGAAGGGCTAATAATAATTGCTGAAAGCAGTATTCATTCATTAGAAGAAAATAATGGGTTCCAAAGAATTTCTGAGATATGGTAAGCTGGAAGTATAGCTTGCTAAACAAACAATAAGAATAAAGCAGCAATTAAAGGGTAGTGAAAAACTTACTGAGGTGACTGAACTCTGGAGAAAGATGAATTTCCTCATTTTTACTTTTTTCCACTTTTACTGGTAAAGCCTCAGTTATGATGACCGTCATGTAATTTTGATGACTATTACCAC